CCACCGGATAAAACAGCACGGCATTGTTAGAGATGTTATATTTATTACAATAAATACAGAATTTTTTTGGAATATACGGAGACGTACACACAGGTCTGTAGTTGGCCTGTCTATATTTCAGTGCAAACGAGAGTTGATATTATAAGATCTGTATCGCTAATGTGTTACCAGGAATATATGGCCCTTAGTTCGTTTCTATTTCTGGTTATATACTCGATGATTTCACATAGCATTGGTACGATGATGTTTTAGATTTGACATTTCTAGAGATGTAAAATTGAATGAAAAATATCGATTAAATACATAATCGTGAACAGATCATAAAGTTAACGGCAACAAAAGGAAATTTGAACAATTACTCCAAAATATAATAATAATAAATTTATTTGCCATAATAATAATAGAACATGCATAGTGTACAGTAAGTAGGTATCAAAGGATCAGTACATAATATGACCGCTGGTACCATTGACTTACAAATAAACGGACGACGGGTCTAATACACAAACCACGACAAAAAATGTCCCAAGTCAACCTATTTAAACGTAGCGACATGTAAAGGAATATAAAAAAGCTAAAACGTTGAATTTAAATTGTAATGTCATCGCAGTACTGTCTAATTTTGCTTGCTTCGCTGTCAGTCGAACAAACGAAGACTAAAGCACGAATGACGCTCTGTATACGATTTTAACGCCCTATAAGTTCGGATACTTTTTAGCGCGGACCCAACGTCCATATAATTGTAAGTCAATGGCTGGTACTTAATAATTATAACTTTTTGATTGAAAAAAATCCGACCTTCAAAAGTTTGCTTATTTTTCGATTTCCATGGGGTCCCCTCATCAGATTCTGACTTCTTGGTGACAATGGAACTGTTACGGACTCCTTTGTACATTTTATACTTTTTTTTCTGGTTGTCATGGTGTGTGAAAAATCAATTTTTATTTACGGAAAATAATTAGTAAAGTGTGATAGCCGAAACGAACCTAGAACTGCAACAGTGAGTATACCCTTTCAAAGAAAAGAAGAATTTTCAAAATCGGTCCGCAATTGTTGAAGAAATTGGTGCATACTCTGACAAGCCTATAAAATTTGAGGATTTCCTTCGATTTTCATGGGATCCTCTCATCGGATTCTGCCTTGGTGACAATGAGACCACCACGAAAGTGCACTATTTCAAACTAAAAATAATTTTCTAAATCGGTCCACAATTGACGAAGATATCTGAAAACACACATGCAGCCGAACTTATAACCTACTTCTTTTTTTGAAGTCGGTTAAAAATTTGTTTGCCTAGAATTTTGTTTCGAATCAGCGGTTGTACAGTCAACAACACATCAAGCTATACACTTTTCTTCGAATATAGTCTCCAGCTTAGAATAATAACGCATAGAATGATAGTTTCATATCAAACGAACTGTCACAAGTGAGGCAAAAATCAAATTCATGTAAGCTAGTTTTAGTAGTAGGTTAATTTTCGGTTTTAGTGAATATTTATATAAAAATACAAGTTGAAACGCGTTTCTTCCTTGTGAAATGTGATGTTAGTATCTATTTTATGTTTGTCTGACGTATTTTTACACTCATTTACCGCACATTTTGTCATTTTTAGCTAAAATTCTGGAGCTGTTCGCGGTGCAAGTTGACCTTGAGCACTGAAGGCCCGCCCGCTCGTGTAGGCCCATTGGGCGCGCCTTCATTTGCCTCACTTAGCGTGTGCGGACTAGGTTTCTATGCGTTATTATTCTAAGGTCTCCAGTGCAAATGACCAAGATCCGTCAACATGTGTTGATGTGCTACCATCTGTACATCGGCGTGGTAAACAGCTCTTGGAGTTAGGCAGTGTGAGAAAGATTTTAATTGGCATCTAACTACATCATAAACAAATAAAATGCTTCCCAAATAAAAAAATATAAATAAATCTATCCAGTTGAGGCGGCTTTATACGGTATTATACTGTCAGATTGTCAACTGCCTTCGTCATGACGAACTGTTAACCGAATTCGATCGCAACCCCTGTCGAGTTTTAGCCACAATCGCTTCGAGAAATTTGCATGTGGTGCAATAAAGGAGCCTATAGCGGAAGACTGATTATTAGCCCTCTGACATATGGTAAATACTGTAACGGGGACAGGGATATTTTGATATGGACATTATACTTCCGCGTAGTTCCGATATAATAATCATTCGACTCGAGTAGAATAAGTGTGCTAGGATTCGACTAAAACTCAATTTATATTGCGGCGGGATGGAAAGGAAGAGAATTTTTGTAACGATACTGTACGTAGCATAATGAACTTATGGTTAATTTTGTAACGAAGATACACACTAGATACGAGTCAAAATCTTCCGCATGCTCGAGAATGCTCGCGCATTTTGTGAAAGATTTCGCGGATCAAAAAATCGCTTCCATTTCGTTCCCCCGCAATATAAATTGAGCCTTAGTAACATTCAAAGTCGCGCATCGCCAGTTTAGAGATTCTACAAATGAAATTAGTCGTTAACATTTTTATGCTTAAACATTTCACACATAGGTGCATAATTTGCATATAGTTTCATGTAGTTGTATTATCTTTATGACTTTCGTTTGATTTTGTGCGATGAAGATAGAAACTCAAAATTTACTAGCAGTAGAGCTGCTTGTGAAAAAGTTTGTCCGGTGAAGTATATTCACACTAGTTCAGTTATCCAGTTCAGTTGACTGATTGATTTGATTCAGTTGATTTTTTTTTCTCGTATGTTCAGTAGACTGAACTTTTGGTCCTCATTTCTTCATTTAATTACTATGTGCTTGATACCCTACGAGATTCGTAGTACCATCGTAGTGACCAACGGGCTTATCACATGTAGTTTAGGAGTTCCTATGGCCGCCTGCTGTCTCCATTATCGGACCAGCTCGATGGTACCCATAACATTGCATTTTCACCGAACATAACGTAGGTATGCCAAATTCCGAGTCAATTCGACCGATAGTAATGGGTCGCATCTGGGTGAAACTTAACAAAAAAAATTTAGACCGGGTCCAGCAAAACAACTTGTTTTATTTTCAACTGTGCAAACAAGATACAAATTCTTTATAGTTCAAACAACTAACTGGACTGGACAATAGAACTAGTGAAGAGAGAGGATGGATGACTGAACTAGTGGGAATAGAGGAAATACAAATCTCCACTTAACCAGGAGCAAAAGCTTTATTTAAACATTATTTTCAACTGAACAAACGAGAAAAAATCTCATTAGTTCAGTCAATTGAACTAGACAACTGAACTAGTGAGAATAGAGGGCCACATTTGGCATTACTGCGTTCCGGATTGGAATGGCAAGTGTGCTGATGAAATTACAGGCACATGGAAAATCAACTTATGTCTCAGGGTAACGGGTGCAGTTGCAGTGCCCCTCAAATCTTTGCGATTAAAAGCTCTGAGTGGCACTGCAACAGTTACGAATAGGCGTGTCGCTTGCGATCAGGCGTACGACTTGTCCGTCACTTAGTATTATAAAAAAAACTGAAACTTTTCATATTGATTGATTTTTTTAGTTATAGTTCAAATTTGTATCTAAAGTATCCGTATGTTTCAATCTAGTTTTAAACAGGTTTTACGTCAAAAAACTATACGCTTCCAGGCGTTAACTTGTACCAAACACCATGTAACACCTGAGCCATAGAATACGAATGAAGTTTTTGTGATAACCCTTTCAAATCTGAAGGGTTCAACTCGTCAGTCAGACGGACTAATCCAAGGTTTAGCTTATGAATTATCTGCTAACTTTATGGTAAAGTCTTAAGTTGTTTGTAAAACAATGTTTTAAATTTGTTTTAATCTGTCTAAATTTATTACAGGGAACCATTTCTTTTCAACTTTTCTTTATGACACCAAGAAAGTGACGACGGGACGAACAAGTCGTGCGCCTGGTGACAAGCGACACGGCTGTCCATAACAGTTGCAGTGACACTCAGGGCTTTAAATCACAAAAATCAGACGGGCACTGCCGCTGTGCCCATCACCGTGAGACACCAGTTGAAAAGTTGTGCCTGGATGTGCCTGTAAGGGCGCGTTACAATTACGTCGTGACGTTTTATTTATCGTTGGACGACAGTTGCGTCTAGCCTGTTCCTATATCACGACTATTTGTCGTGACTGTGTCGTGGACTTTTTCTTCCAACGTCCTTACACGCGCGCTCAATCGCACACGATTGCTGTATCACGCGCGATGGAGCGTCCGTGTAAAGCCCGCCATTCTCACGTTACTGTTTAGTGGCAGAAATATGTTAAGTGATAGTACGTCTCCGGACGAACTCTTTCACAAGAAGCTCTACTGCTACTAAATAATCTGATAATATTGCAGGCAAAAAAGAGATAAATATAAATTAACTAAGATACTATATGTTGCCATTTAGAGTACATGTTTTTCATTTAAATCACGCTTTTTAAATTTATAATCAATACCTCCAATGGACACTACGGTAACTTCATTTTTGGACCTGTTCTATTTTTAATACGTTTTTTGTTTATTGTTTCCCAAATTTCGCTTTTTGTTTCTATATTTTTTTTCACAAAATTTGGGGAACATAATATATTATGTTTACAAAAATAACAAAACATGACCAAAAAATGGTGTTCATTGGAGGTATCGTTATAATAGGACATTTTGAAAAAAATATGTTACATTAAAAAAAGAAGTTGCATTTAATGAACATCTAACGCAACACCTTATCCTATTAAATTGTCTGGACTTAGGTAAACAATTAATCCTAATAACCTTTGTCAATGAGCTGAATGAAGCAGAAATGTGTCTGAAAACAATTTAAGCGCGCCTTAACAACATTTAGATAACGTTAATAGTTATTAATGTAAGATATTCTTTAATACTTTTAATCATTTTGACCTACAGGCAATCTATTAGATTCAGACACTGATAAAACTTTTGATTGAAATGAATGATATACATTTATGCAATCAATGATAATTATTAACTATAATGAAACGTCCATTGGTCTACATTGTATTCTTGTTTTATTACTTCAATGCTCTTCGAAAATGTTACTTATAAAATGTGTCGGGTTATTTTTTTTGCTGTCATGTCAAGCTGGTAGTGGCCAAGTCGGTAAGTGAATGATATGAAGAGTCCATGGAAATGATGATCAAAGTCACTTGAGGAGGTGTGTGTATGAGGTGGACGAGGTTTAGGAAATACTTATTTGTTATGCAAGGGTTTTCACTTCAATATAACGGTATATAACAGTTGAGCTATAACAAATCAATATTAATATTGTACGACAAATTGCGTAGTTGAACGTGTTATTATCTTTTTTCATCGAAAGAAAATGTTAGGTACACCATAGTTCATCGTCAAGTTCGAATTTCAAAAACCTTTTCCACACTACCGTGCAAAAAACATTTTTTCTAATGAAAAAGAAAGTCTTTCCGAGCTAGTGAGGTGAAAAAAGAATGTTCTATTTGGAAAACTCAATTATTTGCAGAAATTACACACAAATCGACTCATCCGAAGAACAGAGTGAGATGTGATTATCCAGCGAAAAGAGAGTAAATACATAATCTCGTTATACAATAAATTATTAAATAAATGCTCGCATCTCTGGGCAGGAGCTCCCAAATACCAGCTAGATCCACTTGACTCTATCCAACGTAGGGCTGTCCGTATTATCGATGATCACAAACTCACAGACGGTTTGGAGCCCCTTAGCTTACGGAGAGACGTTGGCTCTCTGTGTGTGTTCTACCGTCTTTATAATGGGGAGTGCTCTAAGGAATTTTTCGAACTGGTGCCACCGTCTAGTTTCTACCATCGCACCTCCCGCCAAAGGAGTAGAGTCCATCCCCACATCTTAGATGCCTGGCATTATAAGACCACACGGACATCTCGTTCGTTCCTTCCTCGAACCTGTAAGATGTGGAATGATCTTCCTCCTGAAGTGTTCCCTTTGCGCTATGACATGGGGTTCTTCAAAAAGCGTGTTTACAGGGCTCTCAAAGGCTGGCAACGCATAGGCAGCTTATCTGATGTTGCAAATGTCCATGGGCGACGATGACCACCTCCCATCAAGTGGCTCGTCGGCTCGTTTGCCTCCTTCCTTACATAAAAAAAAACTAGGCCTATCTAAAGGTGTTTTCAGAATTTTTATGTCTGCATGCATGTAATGCAATGAGAATAAGCTGTCTTTGGTACTTGGTACTTGGTGCAACGGGCTGGTTTCCGCAACTCGACGACAAAGCGCCTATTTTGCGTGTGGGAATAAGCTGTCATGCACATAGGTCTTTGTTCTACGGATGAGTCGAAATGTTACCTAAAATGTTTATGCCGTCATAAATGCGACCATTATGTAATTTATAACCACCACTATCATTTTATTTAACATTTCTAACATTGCAAACGCGATGCAGTCGCACGTTTGTATCGATGCAGTCGCGCGTGTATGTATATCGCTACGGCGACTTGTAGCAGCGATGTAAACGCGATGCAGTCGCAAATCCTCTACCTTTATGCATTGCAGATGCAAACGCGAGATTGCATCGCTACACTTGGGATTCATAGGCGCTTGTATAGATGCAATCGACGCAATCGCCTATACATCGCAAGTGTAGCAATGCAATCGCGCGTTTCACGAATGTGCGTTTGCATCATTGCTAAGAATCGCCGTGTGCAACCATTCTTAACCTTCGTATACCCGCGCGTTGGTCTCTTAAAGTCAAAGTTAAATGGTCATTTATTCCATATGTAAAACTTTTACACTTGAAAGCGTCATTTTTTTAAGCTACTGCTCGTTCACTACGCTGACCTCCCTAAAAAGAACGAGCAAGAAACTCTAGGTATTGCTCTTTTCAAACAAACTTAAATGCCATAGAATATTAGGGGTTAAAGTATGAAATTGCCGTTTTATTGCAATAGGTTCTTTGAATTTTCATAGAATCTTCATGGTTTGAGGTTTTCGAATGAAACTTTTTTCAAATGGTTTCTGTGATTTTTTTTTTTTTAAATTTGAAACATTTGAATATCGACTTTCAATTGTTTTTGTTATTCAATTTAGACAAGAAAGATGGATACTGCGAAAATTCGAGTGATTTTTGAATACGAGTTCCGACGCGGAACTAACACGGCAGAAACAGCCCGCAATATCAATGCTGCGTTTGGAGAGGGGTCTACTAATGAACGCACCGTGCGATTTTGGTTTAAACGCTTTCGTGATGGAAATTTCGACTTAAAGAACGAGCCACGAGGAAGACCGCCCACACAGGTGAATAACGATGAATTAAGAGAGATAGTGGAAGCCGATCCTAGTCAAACTACCCAGGAATTAGCGGCATGGTTTAACGTTACCTTACCCACAATATTGACTCACTTGCGTCAAATCAATAAAATAAAAAAATACGAAAAATGGGTGCCTCATGATTTGACTGATCTGCAGAAAGAAACGCGTGTTGAAACTTGTGTTGCCTTGTTGAACCGGTACAGAAATGAAGGAATATTGGATCGAATTGTAACATGTGATGAAAAGTGGATTCTTTATGATAACCGGAAAAGAAAAATGCAATGGCTGACCCCAGGTCAAATGCCACAACAGTGTCCTAAAGCAAAACTTACCAATAAAAAGGTAATGGTAACTGTTTGGTGGTCTCAGCATGGTGTTATTCACTATAGTTTTCTCCGATCTGGTCAAGCAATAACGGCAGATATCTATTGTGCCGAACTCCGAACCATGTTGACAAAACTAGCAGTAAAACAGCCCCGACTCATGAATCGATCTTCACCATTATTGCTCCACGACAACGCGAGACCTCACACAGCACGAGAAACCATTTTGACCCTTCAGGAACTGCAGTTAGAAACCATTCGTCATCCTCCGTATTCACCAGACCTTGCTCCAACGGACTACCATTTTTTTCGTGATTTGGACAATTATCTACGTGACAAGAAGTTTTGTTCCCAGGAGGCAGTACAAAATGCTTTCACACAGTTTGTGCAGTCTAGATCGTCGGAGTTCTATCGCAAAGGCATTAATAACCTTCCCATTAGATGGCAGCAATGTATAGATAATAATGGCAACTATTTTGATTAAATAAATTTGTTAAAAATTTAAAAAATAAACAATTTAGATTTTCAGTACAAATCGGCAATTTCATACTTTAACCCCTATTACATTTTGAATCATATTTGTATGGAATCGTGACTCACGTTGTCTTTCCATATATCTTTATTTAACACGTAGTCTACAATTTTTTAATACGACTTTTCAATTAAAACACTTTTAATGTAAATTTTAAGCTTAGAAAATGGTAAACTTAATATATGCTCCGGATTCTTATTGTAAAAAACGTATACAGTTCCCCATAAAAGAATCGTCCCCTTAAAAGAATCTCAGACCGACGATTGTCGTTTGCCGTGTTTTTTCTGAAACGGAACTCACTGCTAGCTGCACGGTTTGTGGCTAACTTCATTTCAGCGTAACAGGAGTATTCGGGCATACAACACATATACCCGTCGTACACGACACCGATCGGTCTCACAGACCGACGAGGGTACAGGTGTCACAGTTCTAGGCAATTAATATTTTTAGTAATTCCTATAGTTATGTATTATTTTTAATTATCATTGAGTGTCCATTGTGTATTATGTTTGTAAATTATATTTTATGGCCTCAATATGTACGAGGAACGCATGAGAAGGTCTTTGGAAGAGGATGACTCAAATTCCAACTATGAGGGCGAAAAGATCAGTGACGTTGTGGATCATTATAGAAGTGAAGCAATTAAGAAATGACCCAGAGCAGGGATAGTTTTTGAAAGTGAGGAGATGTTTTTAGTCTATTAGATTTTTTCATCCTTTAAGGTAAAGATAATCAAATTAAGTGGACTAAAAATTCTCCATCGATGACAGCAAGAAATATTTTTGAGCAAGATATATACAAATTTTTTTTGTATGCAACATGCTATTTATGGTTTTTAAAATTTTATATGTAATTCTTTGACATATCAGAGTTTTTTTTATATTTTAATACTATAAAAAGTACAGTTTGTTCAAGTTTTTTGACTCTTGGGAATATTGTAACTTACCAATGGCTGTAAAAAAAATATTTTGTTTATAATTTTGCTCGATACAATTTTACACATTTTCTTTTAATATTAAACTTAATTTGACGATGATATTATACTAAACAACACACTAAAATGGCCTTCGAACTTTCGATGTCATAGACCGTGTGTATAGGAAGTTAAAGGTACTAAAAATTTCGTCGAAGATTTTTTGTCACCATCTGTAAGCTAACACCTTATCTAGATAAATTTATGTGCCCATATATGATTATTCTACTGTAAGTAGTTAAATAGCTGAGAAGTCTGCAAACTATCCTGGTTACAACATCGGATGAATTCGTTCGCACTGCCTGGGGTTGGCTGAAAGAGATCTCTTTTAGAGATAAGCCACCTTTGCTCACCTTTTTCTACAATAAAATATTACGTTTTTTATTTATTCCAATACAAATGTTACATTAATATTTCTAGTTAAAAATCAACACTACGCTTCATCAATAGGTACTAAAATAAATAAAAAAACTTGGATTTGCAAGAGATTTTTAAAGAAAAAAACCAATCTAACCTCAAAAAAATTCCGCCCTGTATCATACCCGGCTCAAAAGTTCCCCTTATACTGGCAACATTGCCTCGCTGAACGGCAATGGACACTTGCTGACCTAACCACGACCCAGAGCGGTGATCGCAGCCCGTCTCTACCCAACTTTTTATACAAGTCCCGAGCTTCCGAACCCCAGGGCCCTGCGGTCTCGACCGCAACCGGTACGAAGTCGTCCATTGGTTCCAAGGCAGAATATTTAGCATGTTTTCTGTAATTAATTTTTTTGTAGTATTTTTTTTGTGCATAAAAGATGTTAAATGTTGTTGCAGTATCGCGTGTTTTTTTGATAAACCATATAGGGTACATGGTGGAGTTGATCCAAGAGACTGTAATGGAGATTGAACGCCGCCATTGGTCAAGTTTAAAAGCTGATGACTTTATCGTTGATGTTGAGTAAGTTAACATCATCACTCCTTCAATGAGGAACACAGTAGATAAAGCTGCTACGTGTTAAGGTAACTTCACACGGCCTGTGATTTCACAGGCTGCTTCGCGACACGCCAATTTGTACGGACGTGTTCGTGCAAATCATGTGTACATTGCAAGTTGTACTCTCGTTTCAGTTGCATTGCTGCGGTTGTCGTGCCTTTGAATTTACCTATACATGACTGAACGACGTCCAGTCAGATGTCCCGGGTTCGATTACCGGGCTGGGAGAAAGGCCTGTACTGATTTCTCTCGCGAGTTTGGGCGTAATTTCGATACCTCCAATCAACACTACACCAACTTCATTTTTTGGTAATTTCTGTTATTTTTTTAAACAACCACATTTATTTACTAATATTATGCTCAACGAATGTTTAGAAAAAAAAGAAACAAACAAAATTCGAGAAAAAAAACAAAAAACGAATTTTGTCAAAAAAGAAACAAAATAAAAACAAGTCCAAAAATTCAGTTGTCGTAGTGTCAATTGGAGTGTGTGTATCCATTGCACACGCGACACAGCGTTTCCCTAGTGCGAGGATTTTAAAAAAATCACACGCCTTGGGAAACCACTTTAGAAATATAACAGCCTTAACTAAGTACCCACACAGACAGAAACCACTCTACCACCAGAAAATCTTGCCCGGGATTACTAGTGTTCAGTATCTCTTATATTTCAGCGCGACTGTCTTGGGCAAGCATTTGTCCGGTACAATAAGCTATAGCAACGGCTTTCTCGTGACCATTCAAGACGTGAACGTTCTCGAGACCAGCCTCACGCAGGCTTGGTCGCTCCAGCCTGATAATACAGTCAGAGTAGAAATGCAAGGTCAGCTTAGAATAGTCGACGTACAAATAGGATGGGATGTGAATACTAATATTAATGGAAATCACTATTACACCGGTAGCGTCCGTATTCCATTAATTACTTTTAATTTTTCGGTAAGTAAATATTTATAACAATAATATTACATTGGTTATTTATTACATTAATAAATAAATATTAAAGTACATTTCATATAGAGTTTAGTAACAGACCATAGTGGTGGGAGATAAACAGGGCAGCAAAATGGCGGAGTGTTTCTCATATCGTTATTCTGCTTTAGTCCAGCACGCTAAAAAAATAACTAACGCACATATCATTCCAGTTCTAAAATTGTCATTCGCAGCAACTAACTTAATAAATAAATAAATATTAGACATCATCACATAATAGGATCAGAGTAACATATTATGTTACTCGACAGCGCGATACTGCGATGACATTACAATTTAAATTTCGAATAGGTTGACTTGGGACATTTTTTTTGTGGTTTTTGTATTAGACCCGTCGTCCATTTATTTGTAAGTCAATGGTATCTGGTGACAAATTGGAAATTGAACTTTCTATTTCAGAAGATAATTTTCTTTGGTTAGGTTGGTTTGTGTGAGAGCGAGAGAGAGGGTAGCTGGTGTGGTTGAGTAAATTAGTATCTTAAAATAAGTCAGAAGACACCACTCGTAGTCGATAGTTGCAGAAATTCAGCAAACTCAATTTTGCATGGCGGCCATCTTGGATTCTCCATATAGTAACATTTTTGATCTCGATAGAACCTGACCAGGGTGCTTGACAATTTTTGTTTTGAAGCCATCTCTGAAGCTTTGGCCGGGCCGTATATGCCGGAGACCAGACCGACTTAAATGTTGCACGTCGTGCTGGGCCGCTAAAGTGGCCCGCGAGACCTAACTACTCTAATAGTTACGGAGGTATAATAGTCCCTCGAAATTTATATGGCGGCCATTTTGTTTTGCAAATTTTGAATTTTTTTTTACTCCCTGTAGAAAGTGCCCAGAGTGAGGAGCAACATTTGTTTGGAGACCTTAGGTCTAAGACGTATACTTCGCCCGTGCAGCTGGGGTCCTACCTGATGAGGAGCACTTCTCGAAGGTTTTGGTATTTTTTGATACTCACCAAATCCGCCTAACCATTATTCGTATACACTACTCTTATATACCCGCTCTTCTTCTGGGAGAAAAATGCAGTCAAAAAACTGAAAATTCACTTGTTTGGTGGCATCTTGGAAAATGGCAGGATCCAAATTTTACTCGCAAATCCATACTATGAGACTCCATGTACGATCAAATGTCAAATTTCAGTCGGATCGGAGCACTTTTATTTCTGACCGCCATTTTGAGTCCGCCATCTTGAAAATTTTCTTTACCTGCAATTGGCTCGTTCTATTCTGTACGACATTTGTTTGAGCACCTCACATCTATCTCCAATCTTCGCCGAGATATAGGCCTCTGAACATAGTGAACGGTAGAAAATGGCAGCCATATTGGAAAATGGCGGAATCAAAAGTTTGACTGCAAATTTGAATTACTGTTACCTGGATATGGAAAAATGTTAAATTTCAGATGGATCGGATCACTTTTTTGTCGGGCCGCCGTTATTTTTTCAATAAATATTAAAATTTCAAATAATTTTGACGGCCAGTTAGATTCTGTCGCCCTCTACGATATTAGTTTGAACACAATACTACCTATCTTCAATGGTTTCCGAGATACGAGCCCCCGAAATTTGTATTGCACAATGTATAGATAAGATAATTTTGAAAACCTTTAAACTTGAGCCTCTTATAATCACAAATAATTTTATAAAATTTTTTTTTTTTGACATTTTCACCTCCATCTCACCTGATGGAATGTGACGATGAGGTCGACGATGGAGCATGCACACCTAAATAATGCCTATTCACTCTCGCATTGAAAAGGCCCAAGTTATAACGTTCAGGGAATAAATATGCAGGCAGGGAATTCCACTCTATAGCCGTTCGCCATATAAATGTGGAATAGTAACGCTTCGTGCGAATCTTTGGAATTTCCACAACATAGGGGTGGAACCCAAGGCTACGCCTAGTCCCCCAGTGATGGAAAGGGGAAGGCGGAATTAAATCGTGTAATTCCATCGCACACTCTCCGAAGAATTAAATAAAAATACAAAATATATTTGTAATTCATGTAATACAAACCTATTAGACCCTTCAACATATCGAATTGAGCCTGATAGAACTGTAAAAGTAAAGCAAGCGCATGCTTAAGAAATTGAACTGATTATTAAACTACTTAATGACGTTAAAAGCCCTGGTTATGATGGCATCCGGATGACAGGTATTATATCTGTTTTAGTACCCTTAATCACCCATTGAATCAATCGATGTTTGGCCACTTCGATATACTCGGACTTCCTAAAGATAGGCGTCATACGACCGATATATAAAAAAGGGAACCGCGATGACTACAATAACTACAGACCTGTTATATGATATGATATGATATGATTATATACTATTATATTACTACATATGTAGTCAATTGAATAAATATTTAATAAAAAATTATGTCATTAGTACAAAACAGTATGGATTTCAGGAAAATAAAAGTACTACACAGCTTCTGCGCACTTTTTCGAACCAAGTAAATGATTAATTAGATAAAAAATGCATGTACTTGTAAAATTGATTGATTTTAGTAAAGCATTCGATATGTTGAAATATGAAATCCTATATGACCGGCTTTCGCGAGCTGGTATACAGGGCCCTTTATTGGAATTACTTAAAAATTATTATTTCAGCCGATACACGACTGTAAAAATACAAAATGAATTTAGTAACTTAATACTAACTGAACAAGGCATAGCGCAAGGCTCGATTTTTGGGCCGACAGAGTATTTACTTTACGTGAATGATATGTCGAATGTCATTAAAAGAGGTTCTGTACGAGTACATCAGTTTGCTGATGGTACGTGTCTCTTAGTAGCCAATAAGGATTTAATTGTAGCACAGACGGATATGCAATATGATTTTAATCAATTATGTAAATGGGCCCATGATATAGGATTAGTGATAAATGCGCAAAAAACAAAACTTATACACATTCGCTCAGCACTTATTAAAGTACCTTTCAAGCCGACAATCATTTCTCACAGTCAACAGCGTTTTCATGTTTCGGTGAATGTTTGCTCATGTCAATCTTTAGAAGTTGTAGATAGTAATATTTATATGGGCCTTGTGATCGATAACAGATTTAGCTGGGGACCACACAAAGACCATATATGTGCAAAAACAAGATCTATTTAGGAAAATTTTCATTGCTTAAATATGAGGTACCTTACAAAACTCTAAGGTTAATGTATATGGCCCTAGCCGATTCTGTGATTGGGTACGGTATAAGTAGTTATGGTTTAACATAGAATACGTATCTTAAAGAAATCTGTAACTTACGAATTAGGTTCTTAAAAACTATTGTTTCAAATCATTTATTACATATTAAAAATAAATATAAAGATAATAAAGTTGGGTTACTTAGCTATTGTCAAGTAATGAGTGTTTTTTGATAAAGTCAAAGTTTCAATTTTGACTGAATTTAATTATGTACATAAATTATGTGAACACTAGAGACCAAAAAATTTAACAATCATAGAAACCAAAAAATTATTTTAAATAAAATAAATATATGTAGCAATATTATTTCCCCACCTAAAAAAGTCGCAAATTTCATAGATATAATCCTTTATTTCCAGGTCATCAAGAATATGCATACCCATAAGATTACAGTCACCGTGACAGGAGAACAGGATATGACACAAACTAGTTCAAACTACTATAAGATGCATCTAGTGCCATTCAACACTTTGTCCGACACACTGATGTCCACGGTACCAGTTCTTATATATATCTCGATAACTTCTTATAATATGGAGCACCAGGGTAACATAAATAACTACGGGGCGAGTTCCATAGAACAGCCAGGACATCTAGAAAATATCACTTCCCACGCAAAGATCTAACCGCTAGGTCATTGAGGTCATCAAAGATATTTTTAAATTGCAAAGCAAAACAAAAACATAGATGATGACATTCAAAGAGCTCATTTGTTTGGAACAATGCCACAGCTTAAAGAAAGACACTCAATAATAGCAACAAAGATATCTGCTACTAGATAGTCGCAGAATAGTGATTTTGAATGAAACTACCAAATCTAATATTATAATTCTTTCCTCGGATCGTTGGGTGTGCAAACTTGTTTCAATTGGTTATTTTTTAAAGTTGCCAAGGAATACAAAGTTTTTGTAGACAATGTCTACCAAAATATTGTAGTCCTTGGCAACTTGAGCTTTTCGCGCTTGATCTTTCCTACAGGAGGCTCGTTCTCGTAATCACTTTCTTGAGTCGCTAGAATTTCATAAGACTTTCGTGTCGTCGCGGTGTGAATTGGTGATCTTCCCATTCCCTTCTAGACCTCAAGTCATTATCGCTCTCCTTACTTTTCTTTCAAGTCTGCCCCATATTTTGTGCATTTAACGCTACTGCGGCTCAGATAAACTTCCAAAGCTTTACTGTATCTAAAGTACCCTCTATGCCAACGTATGGAAGTAGCAGTCCCACTGCATGGTACACTTCTTCAGAGTCCATTTCCCGTCACTAAACATATTATATACAGCTTCTTCCTGAAACGTGCTTTTATAACTCTCTCTCTACCGTTGGGCTAGAGCGACCTCAGGGACATTTTACGACAGTTTAACGCACTGAAAATCCTTGAAAAGCTTGGACTCACGCACCTTATTTACCCGCACGAATTACCTCGAGGTCACCCCGTGACCCATATGGATTGGTGTGGTACTTGTCATCCCATTAGCTGTCTTATAAGAATAAATTGTCTCTTGGAATCTGTGAAGTGCACTTCCCACGAAATAGGATCAAGAACGCCCGTAACAGCATTCTGTAGTTACGGTGACGATGTCAGTATCTTGGTATAGCTGATACTGACATCGTCATCGTAGTGGCTGTGATAGGAGGATGTGTGTAAATCCCCAGATTAAAAGATCTTCAGCCTTGTTTTCTTTTTCAGTATCAAGCAAATACAACCATCAGAACAGTAAATACATGGGCTATAGAAGTAATTCAACCGATTGCTCACGACCTCGTCATGAATAAATTAGATTTTCCGGAACTTTGCTACGACTGCACTCTGACGGAAGCTAATGAAGACTGGTATGGATAAATAATAATTGAAAATAAAAAACATAAAGAACTACATTATTGTCTTATTTTTTATTTCTTTTTTAATATACATTGTTAGGCCAAATTCCTCGGTAAAGATGAAAGTTGTAACTTGTACAGTAGTACAGTTTTACATTTTATCGTACATTCATAATTTTCATTCATTTTATCGTCATTGTACCGCTGTAACTACTTGGACGGTTCTGTCCGACACCAGTTTAGTTGGCTAGCTTGGACTCGGTGGAACGAATGGTGGAGGTGGAGTTCAAGCTTGTAAGTCTCTATCACCGCCGAAAAAAGACCTACTTGTCAGTTTTCTATCGGATACATTTCGGAGTGTACGCGAGTTAAGGATGCTGCCTCAGCATCCTCAGATGTTTGTTTTACCTAGATTAGTAGAGGTTCATTTCCTTAGTTATTAAATTGTAGAATTGCAACTTTTCGCACATGCATTGTTACTTGAATTATTATATAAGCTTCATTGTAGTAATACTCTAGGTTCTTCTTGTACCAGACTTCAGACTATACAATAAACTAGCTCCCGTAAGACTGCCTTTTACATTTCCTTAAATCGAGCAGTAAAAGTTCCACCTTCACCTTATCACCGTCGACTTTACGTCAGGCGTTACTTCACAACTGGACTACTGCCACCTATATGATAGCTATGCTACATACCAACTGGCCACTTTGAATCCTATCGACAAGCCTGTCAAGATGCATGAAGGTGACTCTGAATTAGTAGAGTCGAAGCTGCAGAACTTTGAACACCGCCGTAAAGTTGCCTGTTTATCATTATTCTACAGGATATATCACGGATAGTGTGCGAGGGAATTACACGAATTAATTCCTCCTTCCCCTTTCCAACATCGGGGGACCTAGGCTGGGGTTCCACCCCTATGTTGTGGATGTTACAAGGATTCTCACGAAGCGCTTTGCTTCCACATTTGTATGGTGAACGGCTATGGAGTGGAATTCACTGCCTAGAGACTTGTTACCTGAATGGTATAACTTGGGCCTTTTCAAGGCGAGAGTGAATGAGCATTATTTAGGTGTGCATGCTCCATCGTGGACTTCATCGTCACTTTCCATGAGCTGAGATGGAAGTCAAAACGCACTTTACTTTAGTTACTTCCATAGTATAATGTCCTACGGGATTCTCA